TGCTTCGTTCTAGCTCGACAACAAAACCAATACTGAAAGTATGACAAAGACCGTGATGTGGAACCAAAGGTGGACTTTCTGAAAAACAGGCCCAAAGTGCACAGTCTCCACTATGAACAGCCATGAACGACTTCAGGCATTAACTTTGTGCTTTAACAATTACTCCAAAACCAACACCAGTAGACCAGACTACAGTTTCACTTACCTGTTTGTACTGAATGCGAAACTCTCTGCGACGATAGGCCGCCCGATAACCATATCCAATCAATTTTTCAATAATCAGTCCGATGTCGGTCAGTCGAAAACTGTACGAACGACTCACATCTTGAATCACATCCTGAATGAGGTAAGACAGTGTGTTCGGAGGCCCTTTATCCTGAAAATAAAGCCATAAATTAGGCCACACGGTCAACGTACCAACCATCCTCATTACCGTATTGTACAATGCTTCCAAACGTTCCGGGGTCAAAAACTTCTCCACCGCGACGCCATTGGTCAGCAGTAAGCGAACGATCTCGACTCGATTGTAAATCAAAGCTTCCATGAACACGGGGTCCAACGACCCCTCTTTCCAATCAACGGTTTGTTCGAATTCGGCATGCATCATATCTTCACGATTCCATGTTAGCAGTAAGTTCAATCGATCGACGGCGGACATGTTCCTGGCCTTCAGTAAAGCATTAAGAATTACGCAGTCAAGCGACCCATCGCGGTTCTCATTCAAGCCATCGAAAACCGTCAGCTAAAAACACAGAACCAGAACAATTAAAAGCTATGGGAGAGCTATCGGAAACAGTAGCTGTACACTCTGGCCTAGTTGTCCATGTCTTAGAAAAATTTTTATAATCTTAACAGCAGCTAAGATAGCTACAACATCACTAACAGCCATCATTAAAAAAATGAAACTATGCAAAACAAAATTCTTACTTATTTTTCTAACAAAAGTAGGGTCTATAATGGAACTGAATCCTCACATTACATAACTAGTCTATGGAAGAAATTAATGTATCCTTTGCTTCCTCAAATAAAACGATTCATATACCTTAGCTGCCTTCGTATCATTGTAGAATTATTATTGCATCTGTACCTTGATGAAGGTCAGTCGAGCTGCTGGTCCAAAAAACTAAAGGTTCTTTCACTTCTGCATGACTGTAATCACAGAACCTGAAGGAATGTTCATCTTCGTAGAGGTGCTAAATTATAAATTTCCTTAGGAACTGAAACTTTATCCGGTCTAACCTGAGCTTGAACCTGATGTACATTTGACATCTTATGCGTCACTTTAGGACAGCAGTTCTGATCCAGGCTTCTATGTCATGAGAGACCACATCTCAAGCGAAGCAACTTTACGTTTCAAAGTTAAAACGACAAACATAACGAAAAATCAAGTCAAACAGACAAATGGGTACTACGTACCAGGTTTCGCTTGCTCGCACATTTTTCTATCAGACTGAACCAAAATTCCAATTCGTCGTCGTTCGCATCGAATTCCGTTCTAAGATCTTCCTTTAATCCTGTCTTGAAGCTTTCTTCGTGGCCTCTGCAGCATTACAAAAGAATACATAAAAATGTGCACACCTCTATTTTGAATGCCAAGTCACAAGATAATCCACAAATGGACGCTTCCACTGAATGACATTTCTTACAGTTTCTCTCGTTTATCGCAGTACCTCACGATTTTCACAAAATCAGGATAAAGCCTATCGATCTGCGACTCACAAACTAACTGGTCATTTTCATGACAATTTTACAAATTGTACTAAGTACCAGACCAACTAAAATGAAATACAAGCAATTCTATTGCTTGCTCTATCACAAAACCTAAATTTTCTATCCGTGTTAGCAAATAAATATACCAGGTTGGATTCAGTTTCACATTATAACATTAGGTATGTTTATTTAACTCTATCAGTAAAAGAATCATGTACGAATGAGCAAAGAGGAACGTTGGAGAAAATTGTAAGGTACCGTAAAACTTAACCATGTGTCCCTCACGGTGCTGCCGTTATCGAACGTTCCACTGGCTCGATCGCCGTGCAGCATGGCTGCGCAAACTTCTTGAAAACTTCGGCGGACTGGGAAAGTAGGCGCTCATAACTTGCTCAATGCCTTCTAACCGCCGGGTGTGTAGAAGCACAACAACGGCTATCGAAGATCGGCAACAAACAAACCAATCAGCCTCGGAGTCAGAATCCGTTCTGAAAAGAGGAGACAGACAGCTCGATGCCATTAGAGCACGTTGAAAAAAAAGCTCCAAGGAAACGGCACTGCCAATGGGAGCTTACAGTCAAAAACTGGAACATCAGAGAGAAAGAGTGGAAGCTGGTTGATGAAGTCGCAAAGTACTAACTCGACAAAGCTGGACTCTCGTCAACGAAGCGCAAAGGTTCTGGATTCGGCAGAAACTTCAGCAGGTGGAAACTATTCTACTCAGGTGTCGATACCACTTCGCGCGCTCAAATCTGGGTTGTTGCTCTGGTAGAACCCAATCTCGCTGATAGAATCACTGAATGGAAGAGTGGCAATCCGTAGACCGAAGCTACAACAAACTGAAGGGTGGACTTGTTATAGGTTTATGCATCCAATCTGGAGGGACAACATAAGTCCTTCTCTGAGGAAGTGAACTGTGCTCTGTATGAAGTGCCGACAACGGAGTTCCTCACACTCATGGGCGATTTTAATGCGCATGTCAGAGTAGACGCTGAAAAGTGGAAAGGCGTGATTGGAAAGAACGGCCCTAAGCAATAACGATATGAGGCTATTGTGGTTTCTGCTTTATATGAACAAATTTTTCGAGCAATGAAACGTGCATCAGTATACCTGGTATAGCAAAGTTCAGAAGTCCACAGAAGTCAATAATCGATTTGATAATCATATCCTATGACTTAACAACGGAGCTCCACTGTTGATGGAAAAGGAAGGGCAGAGATGCCACTGATCATCATCTTGTTGCTGGCACCTTCCACTGTAATCGATGGAGTACCATATGAAGACCTGGCGGCAGAAACAATCACTGGTTCAGATGAGAACAAATAGCTGCTGGAATTGATGAAATGAGGCCAATAATGCTTGCTGCTGGAATCGATGAAATGAGGCCAATAATGCTTAAAACGCTAGGCGATCAACAAGTATGTGTCAACCGGCATTGGTCACGGAAAAAACAAGTGAACTGA